TTTTGTGTTGTTTTGTCCAGCTTGTTGAAGTGCATCACAAAGAAGGGAGGTCCACACAGGAATAGCCTTTAAATAAAGAAATAATTTATTTAAAACAGTGAAAATAGGATCATCCATGGATAAAGTTTGCAAAGCAAGGCTAACCTCAACATAATTCAGCCAAAACCAAACCAAGGTAGATGCCTGAAAGGCTCCAGACTTCCAGGAGCGAGAAAAAGAGAGCCATCCAGTGTTTAAAGGCATCAAGCAGGTGAAGCCAATCCTTTGATTAAGGGGGAGGGGCAGGTCAGCAAGGAGACTGGAAGAGGAACGTAGAGGCAGGAGTGCAGGAAAACACACTGACAACAGGCCTGTGGCTGTCAGTGTATTGGCCTGAAAAAAAAAACAAAAGTTATGCCGTTTTTTGCAAAAAAGGCCACGTGACAGAATGTAGTATATAGTGTAATGCATGTGGTAGAAAACACCTGAGGAAAGTATTTCCTGGAAAAAAAAACGTCAAATGTTCACAACATACCAGACAATGTTGCGTGGCCTCAAAGACTGTGGAGGATCTGATGGTCTGCAGTCAGCACGATGGTACACAGCCTGAATGAAGGAGCCTGTGTTCAGGACACAAAAACTGTAAATTGTGAGGCATGCTTGACTTGTCATCTACGCATATCTTTGTACACACTGACAACTCTCACTACAGACACACAACTTTACATACACATCTACAAATAGTCTTGCTACAACAATAATAATTTGTGATGCATGTTTGTGCATTTACGTTTCTAAGATTCTGATAGGTTGAAAATGATTCATTTGCAGGACGAGGAAGGCCTTCTGTCCTGGTGGAGGACCGTAGAGGGTAAGCTTGATTCATTAGTGATCCTGTTTATTGCTGTTGAACCTTTCTGGTTTTCATGCCGTCCTGTCTTTGTGTTAGGATGGGACGAATGGAACGTGGCGACCCAGGATGATGAAGCTGAAGAGTAAGTAGGACATTAAGTCAAGTTATCAGTTAACTAGCAGAACTTATTTTTAAGGCTTTAGAGTCCAACATTAGCAGAAGTGGAACTAACATTGTTGAAACTGTCTTGTTCTCCTGTCAAACCTTCTCCCCTCGTCTCAGAGTGGTGGAACAAGCAGCTGATCGTGTCTTCATGGCAGCTCGTCTATTCGTCCGCTTCTTCAACCAGCGCGGCGCCTCACTGCAGCAGCGTATCCTGGAGCTGCTCGCTTTAGCCGATGCAGCAGACAACTTCCACAAGAAGACGGTGACGGCCAGCGTCGGTGGTGGAGTGGCCAGTGTGGCGGGCTCTATCACCACCATCACCGGCCTCATCCTGGCCCCCTTCACAGCAGGAACGTCGCTCATTGTCACTGCTGTGGGCATCGGCATAGCGACGGCAGGAGGAGTGGCGTCTGCTTCAGCCAACATCACAGACACGGTCCATTCAAAGACGGACCGCAAGAAGGTGGAGAAGATGATCCAGGACTACCAGGAGGACATTAAGGACATCAAGGAGTGCCTGGAGTTTTTACAGGTGAGAGTCAAAGGTTAAGAAAGCAACGTTTAAATCAAACTTCCCATGCTAAAGAATGATTGTCTGCTGCTCACAGTGAAGAACACATTTGTAGTTTAACATCAGTATCAGGTTGGTGTTTCCCAATCCAACACCAGAGTTAAATGAATGAACTGTACTTTTTCACTGTAAGAATCATTCTTTGATGTGTAAACTTTGATTTAAACATTGCTTTCCTAAACATGCACACACATAGAACCACTACTAAAACACTACATAACTACATTGTAGGGAGTTAATGTAATCAGCTAAATGATTTCCTTCTAGTTTACCTGATAGTCTAATTTTCTGCTGCATTGTGCTGTGGTGTCACTCTGTATTCTGTGTTTTGTTTCCTGACAAACAGCAGATGACAGGCAGGTAAGAATAACACTGCTTGAGGTGATGACAACTTGTTGTGTTGGTCCAGTTTTAATACGCTGACAGGAAAGATGAAGTGAGACTTTATGTGATGCATTTATTGTGTTTTAATTGTAGACACACAGTTTTAACAAATTTTCTAGACCACCATCTGGTGTAAGGTTCATCCCCAGCTGCCCTAAACTAATAACCAAATGTATTTTTATACATTCCTGTAATGTTTAATACAGTGTTCAAGTCCACTGTTTTACCAAAAAAACTAAACAGGACTGCACATTAAGATGTGAAATTATTTACTTGAATTCCTGAACAGAACAATGTGTTTCAGTGATTGAATGTGATGCTTGACTAAAGGAAAGAATAGCTGCAGGAAGGACATCTAGAACTGCAGACAGATGAGTCCAAGTTGACAGTCTTCAGTCACCATCATCATGTTTATGTCCACAGGAAAGCTGGATGCATGGGTCCTGTTTGTAGAAATAGAAAGAATGTTTAGGCAAAATAAATTCACGTTTTCACACAGACAAAGTGAACATTATGAGTATTATTGTAGCAAGACTATTTGTAAGCATGTATGGAGAGTTGTGTGTCTGTAGTGAGGTTTGTTTGAAAAGTGTGTTTTATACATGGACAAATCTCACTACAGCCACACAAATAGTTTTGCTACAATAATACCCCCATAGAACCTACACAGCCCTACTTTACAGTAGAACTGGAGCCAAGGCAGTGCTAGCTAGAGTAACTGTCTGCTTAGACCAGGGGTGTCGAACTGCGGTCCTCGAGGGCTGCAATCCTGCATGTTTTAGATGTTTCCCTCTTCCAACACACCTGATTCAGATGATCAGGTGTGTTGGAAGAGGGAAACATCTAAAACATGCAGGATTGTGGCCCTCGAGGACCGGATGTCGACACCCCTGGCTTAGACAGAGTGTTTGGGACCAAATACAGTCATGTCATGATGGATATTTATGACTAATCCTACAATAGCAATTTGAATAAATAATAATCTTACTAATGTACACTCTGGACTGTTACCCAACAACAGGATTTCTTAAACTGTGACATTTAATCCTCATTTATGTACCTTACAGGAAGGGATGGAGACTCTGGAGGAGTGGAACTTTGACAAGTACGCAGAGAGCATCTCCAAGAAGCACCTCAACCAGAATGTCAAACACGTGATGAAGGAAGGCGGCCGAGCTGGCAAGGCTTTGGTGATCAACACAGAGAGTCTGATCAGTACCGTCCAGGTCCTGAGTGTGGCTGGTGGTGCTGCTAAAGCTGCCCAGGTGGTGAGTGTCACCACCGGAGTCATGTCAGGGCTCTTCCTGGCTCTGGACGTCTTTTTTCTGGCAAAGGACTCCATGGAGCTGAAAAAAGGAGCAAAGACAGAGTTTGCTGGTAAGATTCGAGAAGTGTGTAAGGACCTGCAGGACGGGCTGCTGGAGCTGAACAGCATCAAGGAGCAGCTGCAGAAAACCATGGACGGGATAGAGGTGGAGGTGGAGGAGGAAGAAGATGAAGAGCTGCTGAAATCTGACCTGAAGAAACTCATTGAGCTTGAAGAATGAAGGACAGTGGTTGGAAAGCCACAGAGCTCCACTGTTACAACCCAAACACCAAGAAAGTGAAGATGTAGTTTAACCAATCACTGTGTACGTCTAGGTAGAGGTTCTGAAGTAATATATTTTAAATATTTATTTTTCCTAATAAGTGTCATTAAAAGTGCTAAACTAACACACTGTAGCTGTTTTTGTTGTTACTTTGAAATAAAAGTCATTTCCTTATTATCTTTCTGTCCTTTGTATCACATTACGCACATCAGGTGTGACAGGAAAAACTTTACCAGAGAATCACGAGTGAATGAGGTGAGATCACCTTACGAGAAAGTGATACATGCATGAAGGCAAAAATGTTGAAAGACAACCTGCTTACCTGGTTCCTACAGATGCTTTTCAAGGCTTCCTCGTATCTCATCTCTGTCATCCGCTGCTTCACAAGTTGAGCCCACTTCTGTTTGGGAAATTCATACAAGGAAGCGTTTATCATAAAAAAGAATAGAAAACAATGACACACATATTCAAGTTCAGTACCTGTGATTCTTTTGAGTTAGGACGTTCCTAAGTACGTCAAGTGACAGCTGGGGCAGGGTCCTTATGAGACCCTGAAAAGATAAATCAGCAGGAAATTAAGACTTGTGAATCTGTTCTTTAAAGTTCTAAAACTGTACACATGTGCCATTGACAAGATAAATTACAATAATGAACCAACAGTATTTTAACTAATGGCTTGTGGTGGACACTATTATTTTGAAGGGAACAGGGGTACAGTTTTCCGAGTCTTTGGAAAGCAGATGTTGTATAAAAAGCTTTGAACTGCGAGTCTTGCTGGAAGTGGAGTCAAATAAAGGAACAGAGACTCAAACTCAACTCTACTCTCTTTTTATCGACTTCCACAGGCTCAAACATTTGCATTTGTAGTCAAGGCGTCAGGAGTGGCTGTCTGCCAGCTGAAGCTAACTGAAATCTTGGAGTGACCAAATCAGAGCCCAGACCTTAGCCGTATTACTAGGCTGACCGTTGTGAACGGTATTTGGCTGAGCTGAAACAGTCATAGACACAATAAAGGTCTGACATTCCTGACAGTTTAGCAAGTCACATACCTTACCGGAATCACTAGGCTGAAGTTACTGCTGCCAAATGTGGTCAGACTAGTTTTTAAGGTGCCTCCAGCACTGACAATGTACAATATAAGGTGAGACATAATGACGGCATGAAAGAAAATAACTTTATGACCAATTCATGCAGAAAACCATTCCAGAGGGTCCACATACTTTTCTTGCTACTGCATGTTAATTACTTTCAATAGCTACATACAGCCTCCACATTGTGTAAATGAAATAACATTTGTCAGAAACATACTTCAACCCACACATTACAGTTATCTACTGTAAAACCAAACACTGCTTCAAGCTACATCACTCAGGAAGGCAAGTGCAAAGAAAACTGTTTTCATATTACTGCAGCAGCAGATTACTGACCAGCTTTATTACAAAACAAACAGCTACTTACACCTCCAAGAGAACCACAGCAACATCAGCACCCGCTGGAGTTGTACATCTGGCAAACACCTGGAAGACACAGGACATGTCATTATACAATCCATGTGCAGGCTAGAGACATGAGATGAAAGCAGCTATTATATATTTGGCAATCATTTGATTGGAAGATGAAAGGTGGCTCGGTGGTTAGCACCGTCACCTCGCAGCTACAAGATCTTTCTGTTTGGAATCTCCATGTTCTCCCCGTGCAGCATGGGTTCTCTCCGGGTTCTCCCACAGTCCAAAAACATGTTGACATTAATTGGTGATTCTAAATTGTCCGTCTCTAAGTGTAGCCCTGTCCAGGTGAATCTGCCTTCACCCTGAGTCAGCTGGGACAGACTCCAGCCCCCCGCGACCCCAGTGAGGATTAAACGGTGTATAGATAATGGATGGATGATAGGAAGCTGGTATCTAAAAAGATTCTAATCTTAGTTTTACTCATGTTGATACCAGGTGAGTTTACTCACGAGGGCTGTTTTCTGTCTGCGGTTTTGTACCAGTGAGCACTGTCAATGTGACTATCGCAGACAATCAGGTTCATTTATGTTTATTTATTATTCACAGGCTTTTGAGCAGTAAAATATCTTCCTCTTTCCAGGTAAGCCACCCACTGACAACAAAGATCTACACATCACTACTAGTTGTCGTGAAGTGTTTACGCTAAGCATGCGTCCCGGGGTTTTCCTGACCTGCTACTGTCAGTGTCTACAAGAATCAATTGATGACTTTACTGTGAGCACAGAATGATTCCCTTTGTAACTACAGTCCAGGAAGGAAGAACATGCGTTGACTGTAAATGCTGTGCTTGGACTGCAGCTATGGGGAAGTTGCATACCAGCTTATCCAATTGCAGATGACATGATAATCTTCAGTGTTGACAGATTAAAACCTCCCATTGTAGCGGTTCAGCCAAGTACCTCGACTGGCAGTGCAGGTGTACAGGTGCAGCTCACAACAATCCTGACAGTTTCTTTTTTTTTTTTTTTTTTGCAATTTAATTAAAAAAGGTCAGCTTTCATATGTCCCATATTGATTACATGTACAGTGAACTAAATCACGTTGCTCGTGTAACTTTTCCTTCAACCCTTTTCTCTTCCAGTCAAATGTCCATTTCATCCTCTGGACAACTTTGAAGTGAGCCTAAAATCCCTTCGTCCCTCGGGCCTTTCTTAAATCTCGGGCCTCCTCTCCTGGACCAACCTTTAAGGTTTGGGAGATGATCCGGGAATTAGTGACTTGTTTGACGCCTGTGACTTCGATAAAATGCCTTCACTTGATCTGGATGATCTTCTGTGCAGCCAAAAGTAACAGGTGGAGATGAAGCACTGAGGGCTTTTTCCTGTGCCACAGGGACTAAACACCATGTTCTTTCACGGTGTTACTGATAAGTGGCCTGGTCAGTGTGAAGGCTTTGCAAGAGATAAACGGTATTTATTCTGCTTGAATCATAATTTACTTAAACTCTAAATAAAAGATTACAATATTTTGAGATGCTGGAGGTCTGATCTAATCAAAATGTGAATTTAAAAAAAGCTCAAAATAGTTTCTGGAACATATGAAAAGCTGACCTTTTTGAATTACGTTGCAAAAACAAAATGAACTTTTTCCACATAGCACATGTAAATATGAGGACGGAATTAATATCCTGTGTTTACCGAAACCAAACTAAGACTCATGGTTTCATTGATTTGTTATTGCGCAATGCAGACAGTTTCACCAGAACCAAATAAGGCGGAGTCGTACTAAACAGACAGCTTTCCTTCCCTTCGAGAACAAGGCGAGGCTTCTGAAAGCACACTTTAAAAAAGGAAATGTTGATTTTTCCTGATTATGATTGTATTTTTAGAACTTCATCCACCAAATGAGGTTTCTATTGTGTCTTAGAAGTGCAGTTAAATGAACTGAATTATTACCACATTCACTAGCACCAAACTTTAGTCATTCACATGTACTTTTAACTTCAACACTACATTACACAGGCAGCAAACTAGATAAGTGTTGATGGGGGTAATATAGTATTGATACCAACAGCAGCCGTATTCATCATTAGCAGACTTCTGTTCAAACTGCTGGAGCATCTGCATCCAAATCCATGCAGGGACCCTGGTGAGAGAAAACACAAACAAAGGAAAGAGAAGATTATACAAAACACTCTTCACTCTTTTCACATGTCTCACCAAGTCTTTCGAACTAAACTGTATAAGACACCTACAAAGAGGTTACAACTGGAGTCAAGGTTTCCTATTTAAATCTTGATCTTGGTAAAAATGAGAATTTGAAGCCTCTCAGTCTACCTAGAAATGCAGCAGAGTGAAGCAATAAAATCTGAATTATATACAGAATAAGAGTCGATTCACTCATGACCAACATATGGAAGACTGGTGGTTCATGCCTGAGTACACACACACACAGAATTATGCTTCAATAGACAAAATAAAAACGTCACAGCGCTCAAAACCTCAGTAAATGCATCATACAGTCTACAGATATGCCCTGCCTGTTTTTTCCACGGTGCAACTTTGGCCGCAACCCCCTTGCTAGCAGTTATTAAGGGGTGTGGAGAAATCATTCATTTGCTCTTCACTAAAAGTCAAAAATGGGATTTAGAAATACATTTCCCCTGTACGTGTTATCTCTCTGCAACGTACGGCAGCATGCATTTGTAATTCCAATGTGTGATGAACGAATGCTTGGCACTACACTCTCAATAAACATGTTTTGTGGTGTTGCTTGCGTCAGTGTATGAATTCTACCTAACGTGTCTGGCATGTTTTGAACACCAGTTCTAGTAGTTGGCCAAGATCTGTTGACAGGTGCCTGAGACAGGTACTTTATTGCAAGTGGGAGGGAAACTGTCACACAGCAAGAAAGGTGCACAGTTACATTCTCCATGCGAACGCTGGCCAAAGAGCAGAGGATGCCAAAAGTCTGTTGTGTGACATTCACTGTAATTGCAACAGGGTAACTTGGAACAATGCAGCATTGACGCAGATAAACAAGCAGGGCTGGATTTTTCTTGCAACCAGCCTTTAAAAAACAAGATGGCTCTTGACTTCATATGTCATGTTTCTGCAGCCACCATAAAGCTTGAAATTCTGGTAAAAAGATGACTGGCTGATAATCTGTTCAACACTTATACAGCACATGCATGCATACATGTGAACAGTGGAAGCTGAAAATAGAGGACCCTTTTTGGCACCCTCCATCCCCACAGACACACTGGTACACACAGCAAATCCGAACACTGCCACCAGGCAACCCATCCATCCATCCATCCATCCATCCATCCATCCATTATTTAAACACCACTTAATCCTCACTAGGGTCCTGGGGGGCTGGAGTCTATCCCAGCTGACTCAGGGTGAAGGCAGGGGACACCCTGGACAGGTCACCAGTCTATCACAGGGCTACACTTAGAGACAGACAACCAAGCACACTCACATTCACACCTACAGACAATTTAGAATCACCAATTAACCTCAACATGTTTTTGGACTGTGGGAGGAAGCCGGAGAACCCGGAGAGAACCCACGCTGCACGGGGAGAACATGGAGACTCCACGCAGAAAAGATCCCGGGTGTCCTCACCGGGACGCGAACCGGCGACCTTCTTGCTGCGAGGCAACGATGCTAACCACCGAGTCACCTTGCAGCCTCCACCAGGCAACCACTTGTTTTCAAATATCAGTTCAACAAGGCCGTGCAAACCGTTTGCCGTTGCCACACACTCACAGCGTCCCCACTACAATCCTGCCTCCTTTAAAACTGTTGGCTCCATGCATTGGTCTATGAATAAGTACACCTACAATTTCAGTGCATTGCTTTCCACCTTGTATCAGTCCACTGCCTTAACAACATATCTGCACTGAACCCTGCAGAGGTTTCTGTTGGGAAACACAAGCTTCATTTTTTTGCATGCACATATTAAACACTGTCAGTCTGTGTGTGATTATACAGTATCTACCTTGGCAGCCCAGCTAAGTAGATGAAATTACTCAACTTACGCAACATTACACACCTGACATACTGGAAAATTAGCGGGAAACAGAGGCGCGTGTGTGCCCAGTCACCTGGTAGCATCCACGCAAGTGAGGCATTTCGGTAGCATCAGTCAATTGTACCAAGCCTGGTAGCATTCCTTTTGCCATCTGAGCATCAGCTTTCAGAATAAAAACGTTCAAAAAGCACAATGTGTCTAAATAACACATTCTAAGCAATAGCAGGTGTGTAACCAGCAGAATCAATGCCAATCAGTGAGAGGTCAGAAATGATCATTTACCTTTTCACTGCCACACCACACCGAGACAAGAGCTTCAATTTAAAACATTTATCTGCAACTTCATTCCTCTTTACAGTCACATATAAAATATGTTCAGAAATGACCAATGTTTGGAAAAAAAAAATGGCAACCACTGAAACATGTAAAAGTTACCCAAAGTCCTGAAATGTAATTATTGGTTGCATTTTACTCTCACTTATGTCTACCACAAGGTCACAGCTCTGCCCAGCTAGGCTAGCAGAAACAATAAAGTTTTATTCTAATTCTAGCAACACTAACAGTCTAGAGAGAGATGCGCTGTAAACTGGTACACCAACTGAATGCCAGTGATTTTTGCAGACTTTTAACGTGCAGGAGGAAACACACATTTACTGGATTGCTGTTCCTACAATTTCCTCCCATTGTGTTTGTAATTCTTCTAATTTTTGAAGCTGTACACATTTCACACTCAGTTTGACATGAGGAAAAGGCAGACGATGCCATTAGGTAGTGAGTGTATATGGACGCCTAGCACACTGCCACCCACGTTATTGGAAAATGTTAGCTGTTGCAACTACATATATCCTCGATCCCAAGAAAAATGGGAAGGTTTACAGGCATGCACAAAGAGTGAAAACACAAAACTGACTCTGAACTTCATTACCCTAATGTAGCCACATGTCAAGTTGTTCTTTACGCTACAAGTGCTGTTTGATCCCCTGTACGCCCGACTGGTCATCCATACTTCCTACAAAGATCCATTAACTTGGAACACGGCATTATGTGCTACATTTAGGACAACAGCAAGAGTGGTCTGAGGACTACAGGAAAAGGTGAGAGCAAGGGCATCTACAAAAACTGAAAATTAAAAGGAAAATGTTCGAGTACATGCGGTACAGGACCAAATGTCTGTCACTGTGGAGGAAAAAAAGTCTGGATTTTTGCAGTGGGTATTTTTCTATCTTCTCCAGAAGTCCTTTATGTACTAACTTATTAATCCATACTTAACATTATTAAAACGCATGGAACAAACCAAAAAGCAAGTTTACATAAACAGAACACTTGGAAGTTAAACTTAACATCACCCTACATCATGCCTAACTCTTGCTTTCTGTATGAGCGATATGAACGATGGAAAACTGAGACTATGCCTGTGTTGACATTCCAGCAGCTTCATTACAAAGTGGCTTTGATTCTCAAAGGAATGAACGATCTGGAGAAGAGGAGCATTCTCAAGATCCAAGACTGATGCACCAGCTAGTTATTGAAGTAAACTGCTTAGTTTTTGAGACCCAGTTTTGTACATTTTTCCTCATATGAACAGATAATAACAACCCGCCTGTTATGCTCTGATGGTGTTGGGTTATGGTCAACGTACTTGACTGTTGACAAAAAGATAAGATAACTTCCTGTATCTCAACTCGTACTTGAAAACAAAATCAGACGGTATCATTCTTTTAAACTGTAAACTGTACATATCAGTGTTTGTTGGATTTGAGACACCTGTGAAAGCTTCATTGTGCCAAAACGCAGTCAGCTGAGCAGCCACTAAAGTCATGTTTCCACCCAAAGTACTTGTAACTCTCAAGACTTTTTTCAGGGAATTAAAACGTTATTCTCATAAGCAGTGAAAACACCCGTGCTTGTACGACAACTAACCATCAAGTGTAAAAACTAAAACAGACTTGATTCTCCAATAAACAAATCAACTAAATCACTCAACTGTGAGAACTATCTCTTGACCCTCAAAATAAAAATGATTCGTAACACCCTAATTTTACCTCCCAATTATTATGCATAGCCAACTCCTGAGACTTCTTGTAATGATTTTGTTTCATCCATTTCACCTGTTTAACAACCCCGATAAACACATACACATGGTTTATGCATACCCTGACAAACAATGGAAGGACAGGTGCCAGTCTCTCAAGGGAAACAGGCTTTTCTGGAAATTAATTGAGCTGACAGGCAGAAGAGTAAAATGCATTGAAGTAACACGACTGAGCGGCCCTTCACAACCTCACATAGCAATCTCATTGCTGTGGCAAATGTGGCAAAGCGCTGAGCAGGCTGCATATGTAATAAACTGGATTAATGCTTCTACACATATAAAGTATGATGGACAACTGTGTTTCTATAGATTCATCTATACAATTATTTCCCATCCAAAAAAAGCAAAATCACCTTTTCAATCAAGTTTACTCTATTTTAACAAACTATATCATTGTATAATACTGCACAGTACAAAGTATAAACAAAGGTTTACACGTCTAGTGTAGCATTAAGCTGCCTACTCCAATATCATTTTTGCTAAAAATAAAAAGGGGCTTATTATTCATTCCAAAAGTAACCTAAGTTTCTATTAAACTGCTTAGAAGGAGAAAGCAATGTACACAGCACAGAGCAGCTTAATCCATGTTGGTAATGTGTGCTTGTTCTGACTTCAGCACTAGCTTCAGATTTAATGAAAATAAAAGCAGAAGCAAACAGATGTTAAGTCCCTCCTAACCTGACTGACACTTTCTAGCGCTGGCTGCATCTGACCAGTAACTGGAACCAAAACTACAGACATCATCAGGAACTGGACATGAGTTTTTAAGGCTTACACACAGGTAGCCCACAGGTGCAAGGCAGCTGTGTAAGGCCAACATGAGTAGAAGAAGGAGAAACCGCTGCTGCAGTCGTCTCAGAGTGAACTGTCACTATTACGCACTTCTGCTGCAGCTGATGGGACTGTCTGAGCAAAGCCAAAGGAAAACAAACAGAACTGACTCATCTGAATTCAGTGTCTTTTAAATGCGAAGGGCTATAACTATTCAAAATCCACTTTCATCTGTCACACCTTGTAGCAGTATGAGACAAAAGGTCAGTATTTAGAGTAACAAATGTAAGAAACACATCTGCAAATTTTGATTATGCCTGTCAAGTCAGTTTTAGAAAAGTGCTGATCTTCCTCAGACAATAACGGATCATTTGGGTATTTATCGGGGCTCTCCATCTTTTTCATTAGAAAACCTGAGCCTAAACACTACCGGGTTGGGAACAGCTGGTTTTATGTTCATTATTTTTTATTACTGATGAAACAACGTGGCCATAGCTGTCGCGCCCTGAGAAAAAAATGGGGCCGTGCATACATTATATGCAATGTTGTCAACAAGCACAATTCACTGAAGAGTGAATCAATTCCCTCATCAAAAGGCAACTTGGAGCAGGGCATGCCAACACCTCAAGAGTAGTAAAGGCAATCTCAAGATCTGATCTCCATCAACATAAATTTTGAGGCATTTCAGGTTGTCTCTTCCTTGTCATGTTGCTGATATTAACAGCATCTTGAGGAACAACATAAATATTGATATTAACACAAATCCCTGTAAAGAATGCCAGCGCTTTTATTGCCCTTTTAGTTTTTCGGGGGATGTTGGGGCATTAAAGTATTAAGTGTAGAAAACTATCAAAAGCAAAAGACACTTCTAATGTGATTAGTTTTGTCTTATTAAATGTTTTTTGTTCACTCACAAGGATCGAAATATCTCGCTAGCTTTTCCATCTGCCTACAAAACATACACACAATAAAATCTACAATACATCTGGACAAACAGGGTGTTTATTTTAGAAGCACACACTGGAAGGCAGAAGCTATTTATACTTTAATAATGACTTCTTTGTTGTTCCTGCGCAGCATTAAAACACTCTGTAGTATTCCCACAACATACTGCTGAACGGTTCTATTGTTAGACAGTTAATTGTATGTACACAAACGATTCCCCACAAAAATATGCAGCAATAAGAGAAATCCTCCTTTACCATGACAACCAAACAGGTTTAACACAGCGACCACATGACATTCTTCCTTTCCACAGAAACGCCCTGCTGCAAAAACCAGTTGATCCTCAGAAACACATGATTGCAAGTGAACTGGCAGATCGGTTTTCTCTTACATCACAAATGTGTGATCTGACTGACTCATTATATTGAAAATTTCAAAGGCAGGATTGTGTCAGGAAAAAAACAAAACAGGTTTGTATCAGTGCATAGCCACCAAGACTATCACCACTGCTGCTAACACATAATATTTTTAGTTCTCCGACAACAGTGACAGAGGTTTTGTTGGAAATTACAGAAACCCGGGTTGGTATCAAAAGCACTGAGTTGATCATATAAAGAAGATATAACTGAGCGCTCCCCACTTAAAAAGACTTCCTATACCACTAAAACAGTAATGCCTTTTCCCAGGGAACAATTAACACCTGCAGACTATTAAGTTTGTCGCCACACTTGAACTAAACGCTTTCTGGGGAAAGCGTACCGCCATTACCAGACATATCCACTTTTCCTCTTTTTTTTTTTTAAAGAAATATCAGATTTCAAACATCCTCTCTTGTGATCACGCTTCAGAATAATCGAATAATTACCCCTGCACATGATAATAGATGGACAGCTCTGAGGTGCCTGGACTTGCCTGCTCAATAATTAGAGAGGGCACATTGTTCATAGGCAACCGCAGAGCACAATGGCAATACTGAACCAGAGATGAGCTCTTGCACTGCCACTGACAAACCAGTTCTCACCATTGTGTCACTGGTCTCATGACTAGTTTCGCATACAAATCGGTGCCACTTTGCAAGCACGCACACTAAATCTAAGGTTGCCAGCGCTTTGCATGTCGTTATGTCTTCGGATAGAAATATATTTTTATATTTGCACTGGTAGAGGTTTGTGTGGAGAGCTCAGTAAAAGGTGAAAGTATACAGTTATACGTTACCATTGAACTGCAAACACAAGATCTTCACGCTCTTTCTGAAAAAAAAAAAATGAAAAAAAAATTAAGGTGGTGGCTTTCTCAAGAGGGAACAGCATTGAGATGTAACTGATCATGAACCGAATAATGGAACATATTTAGGTTTCCCACGTAACTAGATGACACTTAACAGACACTGAACAATTCACTAACTTGCTGCGACACCCAAAAAAAAAAAGGACATTTTACCATTTTTGTTTTAAATACAGACAACGCCTTGGAATATGTTACAAATCGCTGACCGAATGACAGGATTCCTAAATCTGGATGACCACAAACATCTAATTAGGGAGTTGATTGAACATGCACTATCACTATCACTTCACTTATATTTTGGGTAACAAATAGAGCTTCAAATGCTACAGAGTGTGTGACATTTTTAGTCATTACATAAGCTCAGATGCTTCTGTACAAGAAGATACTGCATAGTTAAGAGTACCTTCCAGGCAGAACACAGTACACACTGAAGATTGCGTTACTTTCCTCGTTGTCATGTGTTAATTGTGTGGGGAATGGGCCTCATGTGTCCTCAAGGAAGTAATGCATTGAAAGACCAAATTCTTACAGACAGTGACTTGGCAAAATAACGTGTGGTTTCCATCATACACACCCTTTTCCCCACCCTGTGGAAATATCAGTGATGTCAGAGAAGTTTTTTTTTGTGTGTGTCGGATACCTTGACTACTCACTCCCCACAGCATAAATACCAACTCAGAGTAAACAGGTATCACAGCTTCACCTGGGACCCAGTAGGGACATCATCAACACTCCAAGGAACTACACATCTTTTTGCTTTAGACCCAATTTTTCCTCACTTGCTCGGAAGACAAGACCTACAGGTATGCTAAAACAATTTATTTGTCAGAATACGGTACTTTATTGACCATTATGAGCACTGTATTAATATTAAGAACAAATTTATTAGACCACCACCCAATGCAAGGTGTATGCCACAGCGGCCCTAAATTAACAGCACTGGTAATTATCACTTTTTAATGTTTCTGTAATAGTTAATACACCAATATGTAGAAGCTCTTTAATCAAAATTACATTTTAATTCTAAAATATTATTATTGTTATTATTGTTATCCAGGAATTTTCAAATTTACCGTTTTACAAAAAGAAAAATATTGAAGCCAATTAATGTTTCTACATTAAGACATCAAATTATACTTGTTCACTTGCATTTCTGATTGAATGTTATACTTGATTCATTTCTGCCTTCTCTGCAAAGCCCAGTGACCCGGCTCAAATTTGGGTATAAAAAGATGAATTCAGTTTGAAAATCCTCATTCTTGTTCACAACGGTAAAACGCTGAGAGCTGAGTGGGAATTATAGCGCTTCATACAGCCTCCAGACTAACTTTTCCACTGGTAGCACCGGTGAAGCCTCCCACCTTGTCACAGGCAAAACACATCACTTCTTGAACATCTGCTTATCGACAGAAGCTACAGATGTTCCCTAAACGCCCCACACTGCAGGCTGTGGTAGCGGCTGCTCGGTGGTGGCGGTGTGCTCAGATAGGTGTGCGACCGAAAAATATTTTGAGAAGAGTTCAACTGGGGCGTTCTAGTGCCAGATTTGTCCGAGATGAAACCAAGTCGTTTTTGCTGATGCGCTGTTCCGAATGCAGGTGCGCTCGACATTTCATGAGAAGACCGCATTTTTAGGTGTAAATACCACAGTCCACCGAGGTTATAAAAGTGCTGCTTTCCACCACTCTGGTTAACACTGTAGCTGCCTGTGCCGGTTACAATGACACCAAAACAGCTTAATGATCATCATCATCTCATCTCAGTCTGGAGCCTACACACACCTTAACAAATTAGACAGGTGGTGTAATGAATTTGTGAAGCACTGTGCATTATTATAATATTACATTCATGTTTCTTTTATCATAATACATCTTCATCTTTATGATCTTTTATAAAGATATAAAGTTTTAAATTAGAGTTTGCTTTTCAAGTGGCATCCTATGACCTCCCAAATTAAATTTAATTTAAAATGCTACAGATAAATATGTTTTAGGGGGTTTTTTTTTCCCACAATGAGAATGGCTTACCACAGAATATTTGCAAAGTGTAGAGCTGTGATGAATTTTCACCTACATATGAGGATTACTGGGTATTATGTGAAGTAAAAACAATTCACTGTCAAAGATTTTCTCTGAAATCACCTGATACACACTGCTGTTACGCTACTTAACTGAATAATTTCCCTCCATCTACTTTAGACATGGACAACAGACTAGTCTTCACTGTCCTGTTAGTGATGCTGTCCTCGGAGTTTATAGGAACATACGCTCAATCCTCAGTTACAGCAACCACGATATCGGTAACGACGACAACAGCAGCCACAACTACAGCATCCGCAACAACAACAACAGCCACAACTACAGCACCTGCAACGACAACAACAGTCACAACTACAACACCCGTGACGACAACAACAGCCACAACCACAGCACCAACGACGACAACAACATCAGCCACAACTGCAGCATCCGCAACGACAACAACAACCGCAACTACAGCAACCACGACATCGGCAACAACGACAACAGCAGCCACAACTACAACACCCGGGACGACAACAACAGTCACAACTACAACACCCATGACGACAACAACAGCCACAACCACAGCATCAACGATGACAACATCAGCCACAACTGCAGCATCCACAACAGCAACTGCAGCACCAACGATGACAACATCAGCCACAACTACAGGATCCACAACAGCAACTGCA